TATATATAATTTTTAAAGTAGTGGCTTTTTAAAGTTAAGTAAAAAATAAAATTCCACCCATCCCCCCCAAAAAGAAGAAGCAGAAAATGAGGAATATCATCTGTGATACTATCGACTTATTTAAAAGGTATATTGTGATATCATTTTCTGGAAACATCGCCTAACCCTCCTTGGTATAAAACTTGCAGAATAACAAAATATAACCAGGAAACTAAAAGGATCATAAACTGTAGGTAGGCATGTTTGACCAGCTACAGTGAAGCCCATATTTTCTATGATACCTTGACTACACTGATCAAGTCTAGTCCATGACTGGGTGTCGTAGGAGAGCTGTTGTGTTGATTGGAGGTGACTGTGCTCTTCATTCTGCTGGGGGAGGCTGAGGCTCTTGAACTATTCTCAGCCTGGCTCTTGGGTGGGGGGGCTTTGACTGAGTGCCGAGGCTGTGGTTTGGGTGAACTGCGTGTGCTCTGAGTCATTGCCATTTCCTGGTTGTGTACTTTCAGAGGCTCCACTTGAACGGATTTTGCTGAGGGTGCTGAATCGGACACAAGTCTATGTAAAGCAAACAAAAGAGGAAAAGTCAACTTTTTCAGAACAGAATAGCTTAACTACAGAAAAAGTTGCTGAATACCTGCGGAGAGAGCTAAAAGATTCAGTCAGCACTTTGACCCTTTTCAACATGGAGTCCATCATGTGAGGTTCTTCTTTCAGGAAGCGCACTGCCTCCACTTCCAGCCTCAGCACTGAACGCATTTTTGCCTGCAGCACTGGAAATTCTCCTGGCAGAGAGACCAAACATACATACAGAAACATACACTCATGAGACATCAAATGTGAGTAGAGAAGAAAAACAAAGCATATTGTACCTGTATTTTTTAAGCTTAAAATTATATCAATAATATTTTGAAGTGTCTCTGTGTGTACCATTTTACCACCAAAAGTAACATGGCATATGCCAATAGAGTGGCTGAATTTACATGAAAACTCAAACACTGATTTGTTGGCAAAATGAAGTGATGTGTGAGTTCAGTGGAACTGATCAACCTTTGAGGACAGCCAGAGCCTCTCCAAGCCTTTGCAGGCTGACTGCTCCCTCCTCCACATCTCTGAGTGTGAAGGATGGCTGGCCATGGACAGAAGAGGAGCTTTCCAAACACTCCACAAAGTCTTCCAGTTCACTGTGGGAGGAACAAGACAGCTAAGGTGGGGAAATCATCATGTGATGGTTTTTTCTGGACAGCAGATGGTAGCAGAAACAAGCCTTAGGGACCTCCACAGTTTGTCTTGGCGTTCTTCTCATGAAGGTTTAACATCGAGATGGAATCACTGTAACACTTTGTGTTAAATTCTGACAAACTTTTTAATTCTATATGGTGCGACAAGAAAGTTGGTATGAACTTTAAGCTGGAGGATTATTCAACTCTTGGTTTCTCTGCCACTCTTGTTTTTATGCATAGATTACAAACACCAAGAAAAAAACGTTTGTTTTTTTTAAATCAATTTTGACACATCTAAAATGCTCCTTTCATTTTGAAAGCAGCTGACATTGTGTCTTGGCTGCTTTCAATCTGCAGTTGGATTGGGTGTAGCCTGACCATCACCTTCCTGCACTATTCTGCTGGATTCAAATATTGCCTCACAGCTTGTGCTTTCTCCCATTCACTTGAATTCCTCCAGTGGAATTTCATCCTGGCCAGAACAGAAAGAGAAGTCGTGAACGATGACATCAATTTTTTGCACTGTTTTAAAATCGTAGTCTGCCTGTAGCTGCAGCGGAAGAAGTGAAGGAAGCAATTCAGTCTATGTTGGCCACACATCCAGATATTGCTTTAAAGGGGAAGTATTATGTAAAATGTACTTTTTTGAGCTTTAACAATAATCGTTTTTATTTATAGTGCACTTTGAGATTTCAAAATGAAATCTCAAATGATGATAGCAAGCTACTTTACAGTAGCCACAACTGTCCTGAAGCAGTCTGAAGGGCGAACTCCTACCGCCTTCGCCATCATTGCTCCTTTACATTGTGTTGTAATGTTATTCCCTCATCAGAAACACACCTGGAGTGTTGTCTTGAGTATTTTATGCATGTTTGAAAAATCATTTAACCTCCAATGGCAAACATTCAGCTGTCTAAAATGCCTGGGTGCAGCTCCCCCCACTCAGCTCCTTCAGACTAGCCAGCAGCAATTAGCAGACACCTGTAGGAACAGTGCCTCAGCTGAGCTCATCATAGGAGTATCTTCTCAGTGAAATGCTGGTAAAAACATTGTTAAAGGGTTAATAGAGGAGTCATGTTGTGATGACTTCCTGAAGTCATCAGAAGGTGAAATTTCAGAAAGAACTGGAGTTCTTAAAGAGACAGAAGCACAATTTTAATCAGTAAGGCAAATTTCTTTTAAGTCATATTTGATATACGTAGCATTTGTATAACAACTGAAGGTAACATAGTTTCTTGATTAAGCTAAAAAATTGCACTATTTGCCGGGAAAACATAATACTACACCTTTCACATTAACAGCACTTCTCTCTTCACAGTGGAGGATGGTTGTTTACAGTGCAGGCAATTTACTGTTAAGCTTCATAGCTTTGAACGTGAGTATTAAATATGGGCAATTATTATCGATTGGGTAAAATTTTAAACTTCAACAGAGTCTAAACCTTGAGCTAGTAATCATTGCTAAATTGCAGAGAGCTCAGACCCTCTGACCATCTGACCAAATGTAGGACAAGGGGCAGGTTTTTACCTGAGTAGATTGGGTGGTGAAATTGTATTAAAGTGGCCCTGGGTATCCAGCAGTCTTTGAAAACCATAAGTTATTTAATGTGCTCAATGTTTTATTCAATTCAATAAAGAAAATACTTTGCTTATTTCAAAGGAAAATTAAATGTTATCATAATTCATATCATCCATGTATCTTCAAGGAGTCATTGTGGATGGTGATACTGTGGGCAGGAAGGATCTCTGGTTGCCATCAGAATTGCAACGTATCCAAAGACCATGTAGGTCACACTTTGTATTTGTTTATTTAAAAAAATCTATCTAAAAATCAAGCTCTGCTGTTTTTTCCTGGTGCATTGAGTTCTAACTAGAAACAACCACTCAGAGCCTGGAGGCGGGTCTTAGCACTCCTCCCTCTCCCCTTGCTCTCTGCTACCACTACAGCTTTTTCCTGTCAGTACATCTTGTTGTGAATGCTCAGGCTAGTTAGCATAGCCACCTAACAGCAGATAAATGGTTTTGTTGCAGTGTAAGTTGTCATTAGCCAATAGCACATTTAGCAGAAAGTAAATGAGGTTGAGGGGCAGTATTAAGCCTCTCCCACTGGCTCTCATTGGTTGTTTTTGGTCGGAACAAAACAAAAGCATGTTTTTGTCTTCAGTGGACAATAATAACTCCAAGTGATATACAACTGATCCTTGAGATGCTTGGCTATAAGAGCAACTAAGAGACACAATATCCACCATGGCAAAGACGGTTAGAGGCTAAAATCAAGATAACAAGGAGGGAAG